GAACAGTTGCTAGAGAAGGATGTCATGCTGGGTAAGATGGAGGGTCAGAGAAAGAGAGGATGACCCCCAACGAGATGGATTGGCCAGGTGGCATCATTGATGGTGTCAAGTGTGGCAGCGGTAGTGAAGTTGGCCCAGGATTGGACACTGTTTCATTCTGCTGTGCATGGGGTTGCTATGAGTCGATTCTGACTCGATGGCACCTGACAACAACACCAATAGTCGGTACCGACTCAATGGCACCTAACAACAACAACAACATAGACATATCCTGGTGTGGCGCTGTGGGTTAATGTGCCAGACTGCGAAGTCATTTGAACTGCAAGGTCGGAGGTTCAAGCTCACCAGCTGCTCCTTGGAAGCCCTATGGGTTGGAACCCACTCAACGGCACTTCACAACAACAACATAGAACGCTTATTTTTTTTAAGCGCTAACCTCATACTATTTGATTGCCTCCCCATATGACAAGGAATTTTCAGAATCATTTTGGTCTGAAAGAATATAAACGTAATTAACTCTTAGCTCTGACATGGTTGATAGAAATTTATGTGTTATTACTCATTGTTGAGTAACTGGGTGGTTGAAAGACATCATGTATATGACTTCATTCACAGACATGTTCTGTGTTCATGTGGCTGTAATTTGTGATCTACACACATGTTATTGTTGTTGTCAGGAAGTGTCCAGTCAACTCAGACTCTTAGCTACTTATGGTGAATTACAACCAGGTCCTGGACCTCCTCACAATCATTGTTAAGTTTGAGCTCAGTGCTGCTACCACAGTAGGAATCCCTCTCATCTTAGGTACTTAGTCTGACAATATTCTGGTGCGATTCATAATGTTTTCATCTCTTGGCACTATATCTGATAATGTTCCGCTGCTATTCATAGCGCTTTTAATGGCAAACCATTTAGAAGTAGTCCTCTCTTTCTTCCTAGTCTGTCTTAGTCTAGAAGCGCCACTGAAACCTGTCCACCGTGGGTGATCCTGCTGGTATTTAAAATACCAGTGGCAAAGCTTCCAGAATCACAGCAACATGCTACTCACCACAGTATGACAGACTGACAGACGAGTGGTGATACAGACATAGGAATTTTGATGAATTCTTTTTTGCAGAATTCCCATAAGAGAGAGAAAGTATGATGCATTTGTTTTTTATATATATATAGACTGCTGGTGTGGTGCTGTAGAATCAGCACTAGACCGTGCACCACAGGCCAGTGGTTCAATCCCACTAGCTACTCCTCGGAAACCCTATACAGGGTCACTATGAGTCAGAACCGACTCAACAGCCGTAACAACAGCAACAACAACTCACACACACACATATATACTTGTATAGATGCTGACTTGTTGAGTACATTCTTCATAGACGAGAGGATCACTGAGAACTAGAGCCTGAATTTACATTTTTTGTGCATGATGATTTCAGAATTTGACCAAGACTGCATGTTGTTGTTGTTGTTAAGTGCCGTCGAGTCGGTTCCGACCCATAGCGACCCTATACAGGATTTCCAAGAGTGTAAATCCTTACAGGAGTAGAAAGCCTCATCTTTCTCCCGCGGAGCAGCGAGTAGTTTCGAACCATTGACCTTAAGGTTTGCAGCCCGATTCGTAACCACTACACTACCAGAGAAGACTGCATGTAGGATGTATATATTTTAGTTTGTGGTTCTCTTCCCCTCTGCACATACTTCTAGAGCTACAGACTAAAGGACTCGTTGGTGTTATCATCATAGGCTCTTTCGTGTGTGTCATCATGGCAGGCGGGTTGGCCCAGTGGGTGATGGAGATTTCCTGGAAGACAACCTTTCAGCAGGACCTCTAGCCATAAACCAACCCTCCACAGTCATGCCTCAGTGGAACCCTTGACCATAACTCAAATCCACATAGTCCTAACTCAATGAGATTGGGAGCCATGACTCATGTCAACACAGAGACACTTAGTGGGACCAACTCCACAGCTATGATGTAGTGGGACTGCCAACCATAAGTTAACTAAAAGTTGTTGTTACTAGGTGCTGTTGTGTCATTTCTGACTCATAGCAACCCCAACACAACAGAACAAAACACTGCCTGGTCTTGATTCATCCAATCAGTTGCTGCTACAACTGAGCGCAACACTGCTGTCACTGTGCCAATATGTCTCATTGGGTTGTCTTCCTCTAGTTCACTGACCCTCCACTTTTCCAAGTATGATGTCCTTCTTGAGGGAATAGTCCCTTCTGATAACATGTCTGAAGTATGAGAGATGAAATCGTGCCATCCTGGCTTCTAAGGAGAATTCTGGCTGTACATCTTGGAAACCAGATCTGTTTGTTCTTCTGGAAGTCCATGGCACTTTCAATATTCTTCTCCCAACACCATAACTCAAATGCATCAATTCTTCCATGGTCTTCTTCATTGTCCAACTTTCACATGCATATGAGACTCTAGAAAATGTATCAGTTTGAAGACTAAGGGGCACCTGACCAAGCCATGGTATTTTCTATAGCCTCATGTTGTTGTTGTTGTTGTTAAGTACCGTGGAGTCAGTTCTGACTCATAGTGACCCTACACAGGGTTTCTGAGGCTGCAAATCTTTATGAGAGCAGAAAGCCTCATCTTTCTCCCATGGAACAGCTGGTAGTTTTGAATTGCTGACCTTGAGGTTAGCAGCCCAATTTGTAACCACCACGCTACCAGAGCTCCTTATGCATGTGGAAATTGGACATTAACTACAAGCAGTAACTCCAAATTGCGTAAGATCATCCAAGTAGACCCAAATAAGACGACTCAGTGTAACTTCCAATTATGACAATTCCAGGATCACTCCAATAATACTTACTAACAAGGGAAAGTATGAGGTCTGACTGGTTCGGGTTAAAATATTTTGTAGTCGGTTGCAAGATGAACTGCTAATCACAAGGTCAGATATTTGAATCTATCCGCCACTCCTCAGGAGAA